ACGAATAATTCAATTTTATATATATATATATATATATATATATATAAGCTGTTTGAACACCTAGAGATCGCAAAAGAATTTTATGACAGTTAAAACAAACAGCTAGTGCGGTTAAAACTGTGTTTTAAATCAGAGGATTATTAAGGCTTCATTTGAGATTGTTTTTTTTTGCTTCTTAAAGTAATTTTTTAGTATAAAATATTTAATTTTTAAACTAAAAAGATGTTTTAAAAAGCAATAAAAAAAATTCCAAACAAAGCCTAAGGGCATCTCCAACCGAAAATGTCATTTTTCACTTCAAAATGCAGGGAAATCAAAAAATGCCGTTTTTCATCTCCAATCCAACGCCATTTTGCCGCTAAAACAGTCGTTTTCTTTCGCGCCTTTCTTCCCAACATATTCGGTAGAGAGAAAAAAATGGCGCACTGTTCATCCGCGATCAAATGGCGTCAAAAATGGCGATCGGTTGGAGCAAAGCAAGAACGGCAAACAAGTGTTTGTCGTTCGGTTGAAGATGCCCTAAGGCCTTATTTGGGGCGGCTTTCTTAATGCTTTTTAAAAACAACTTTTTAACACACAAATTTCTAGTTTAAGAAATTTTTTTTTCTAAAAACTATTAGAAAGCAATAAAAAAAAACTTTCTCAAATAAGAGAAATTATTAAAAGCAGAGTGCGGACGCAGAGCTACGTTCGGACTCTAATAAAATCGTGACATATGGACACTGTGTACATAGTATTCACAAGCTTGTATATATCATACAAGCTTGTACACACTATGTACACAATTGTATACAAATTGTATGCAAATCCACGTATGATTTCATTAGAGTCAAGACATAACTCTACATCCACACTCCACACGTAATAATTTCTCCCGGAACAAAGCCCAAAAAAACTGGCAAAAATTGTGTACCAACCGTTCCTCAAAGCAATACATTGTTTTCAATCAGAGTATATAAATGGCATGTTGGTGACTTGTGGGAGTAAAAAGTCATAGCCACTGCATGCTGCAGCCATTTCTTTCCAACACCAAATACAAAAACAGATATTATAGCTTCAGAATTTATTCATGGAAGCCACAGAAACACCGCAATGCATCCCCATAAGTGGATAATCCCCTAGAGCCACCAAAAAACGAGTAGCTCATTCTAAGCAGTAACAATGGAGCTTCAACTATAGGTTGTTTGCATCGTCTGAACCAGCATTTCCTCCTTCTAAGACAGACAGAGAGAGAGAGAGAGGAAATAAATCAATATTTGCAAAGGTAATATGATAAATTTGAAGGCGAAACAAATAATACCTTCACCTTCACCATCACCATCAGCAGATGCATAAGCTGGCCTCCTTGAACGAGCTTGCTGGTGATGTGTGGGCTTATATGGTAAGGGAATAAACAAAGTGATTAGTGGATAAGTGTTGTTCTCGTATTAGAAAGCATAATCACAAAGAATATGGAATAAGATAATGGTGAACATTAGTACTTAGTACCTGCAATTTTGGCCTGAGCGCCTCAAGAGGACCTTTTGGCTTTACTCCTTGCTGTTATCGTGTAAATAATATAATTTAGAATATATTTTTCTCTATGGGGTCGTTTGGTAGCTTGAGTAGAAATCATGCTTTGAAACATGATGAAATTTGGTAAATCAATTACATAGCTTGATCTGGTTAGACAATGACAATGGTTTCAAATTTCAGGAATTTCCACAAAACTATTTCAAATGTGAAAATGATTATATTTTCGTATTCAAAAGAAATGAAAATATAATCATTATTTCATGAAACAAGGTTTCTATTTACAGGAAACCAAACAAGTACTAATATAAGGCATCATTGAGACGGTTTTCTTACGGCTTTTTAAAGCAGCTTTTTAGATAAAAATTATCTTCAACGAGAAATTTTTATGCTGGAAAGTTGCTTTTGAAAGCATTAAAAAAGCTGCCCCAAACTTAGCATAAATTAGCACACATGTTTACAATATGGCCTTATCAAGTAACACTTAGGCTTCGTTTGGGACTGCTTTCTTACTGCTTTTTAAAGTAGCTTTCTAGTAAAAAAATTATATTTTTTGTGCTAAGAAGCTATTTTAAGAAGAAGTGAGAAAGCCGTCCCAAACGAACCCTTAAGAATAAGCCCAATACCTTGCCTAGAGCCCAGTCAGCAGAATCGAAAAAAGCACGCTCATGATCCTGCAGAAAAGAAATTAGTTTCATAAAATGAATAGGTATAATCGAAGTCTCCGCATCTACATCCATTACAATACCACAAACATATCAAAAGGATAAAAAATATGAAGTAATGGTTACTATATGATAAGAAGAGTTTCACCTTCGAAATGAGTGGAGGCTTTTTGGGCACAATTCCTCCATATTTTTTCTTGATAACCGCTTCCTTCAAAAGAGTGATAAATATAGTTTAATTTAAGTTTAAGATCTTTCTAATCAGCTTTAAATAACTGAAACCTTTTGCAACTTGTACTTAGATCAAACCATACTTGCACTGCATCACAAACATACTTATTTTGCCCATAGTGTATTACAAAAGTTACCTCGTCTTGAGATGAAGGCATGGAAATTTGCTCATTATGGCCAACAGTTTCGGGTTCATCACTTAGTTCTTCAAGCTTTTCATTTTGGTCAGATTGTAGCTGCTCATTAGCATCAGCTTCTGCCAAGTTGGACATTTTGTACTCGATAAATACCGTAGGGAAGCTGCACTTAACTTTCAGCCTATTGTTGATATGAAAACAAAAACTCATCACTAATACAATCAAGAAATATTGGAAATAGCAGAAAATGAGAGCCGGCTCATAAAAAGCTTGGTAAGGTGGACAGGTTGAAGCAAGTGGATGATTAGACTGTTAGCAATATACCAAAAGCAAAAAGATAGTATAATGATCATCTAGTCTTTGTTCACTTCTTAGTTTGCAAGCTACACTCTTATTCCAACCAAGAAACTGGAAGATAGAACGCAGGGCGATATAAATTCTCATTTTATTAAGAATAGAAATCTTTCTCATATTTTTATTAGGTGGGCCTAAATCCACAAAATGTATGAGATGGGCACATGAATCGCTACAGATTTTAAATCTATTTGAATTTGGAAAAATTCATCATAGTTGCATTCGTTGAAATCTCTGGAAACCGAGTATAACACTTAAATCAAGACCATTCAGGTAATAACGAGATTAAGAGTTTTTTTTTTTGAAGGAGCGGGACAAAACCAAAAATAAGGGAAAGCAACAGCTTTTAAAAAAATTAAAATGGAGCAAATGAGGCAATTAATTTGGCGCATTCAATAGAATGAGTGAAATTAATTGGCACATTCAACCCATTTCGGCTAACCCCACGGCTAGATCTGCAATTAGAATAATTCTAGTGCGGGCCGCGAAAAATAAAATGGAGGATCTGAATCCAAGGAATTCATTAATATAAAATGGCTCCTAAGGAAAATGAAATATTATCAGAGAAGCTTAAGTTGTGTAGAGAGAATTTCGACTAGAGAGAGGTAAGTTTGTGAATTTTATTCTTAAAAAAATTAGATTAAATAGTTTTTAGCAAATAAATAAATGATGTGTTTGAGCGTCGATCACATTCCTATTGAAATGAAATTTTCGAGAGTTTTTTTAAGGAGCAGGACGGACCCTGAATAAAGCCAAAAAGCATAATTTAAAAAAATAAAATAAAATGGAACAAATGCGTAAGATCATTTAGCGTGTTCTACTAAGTACGCCAAATAATTTAGTGCATTTTGAATGCATCAAACTGTTTAGCGTATTCAGTAGAATGCGTCAAATGATCTGGCTCATTCATCCCAAACTCAAAACCCTCCTGCTCGGCAAGGGCACATCTAGCCATAGTTGGAATTGATGGAAATGGAGGTTGTACCCAGTCACATTTGTTGTGGTGGAGGCCAAGAGTAATAAAACATAGAATTGGTTTCTACAGATGCTCCACGACCATGACATCAGTTCGTGAATGTGAAGATCTTTGCATAGTCTATGATAAGCACTTTGAGATGAGGTTATCGAAAGATATTTTCGAACGTTGCGCATCATCACTACCCATGGTATCTTCGAGAGAACTTCAAGAAGGCTTTAAGACGTCTACAAGTTACTAATAGTGATACATTATGTGATAAGATGTACTATTTCGGAAACCCAAATGATACTATTTTCTTCAACCGTAACATGAATGACATCAAAAATATTAAAAAATAGGCTTTCGGTGGGATGGTTAAACGAGATGTCACTAAGTGGAGCCTATCATAGAATGGCTGATATCGTTACGGGATAATAAAAACAAATGCATATGAATACTTTAATGGAGTTCTTAGGCGTGTTCGTGGCCTCCCCATATAAGAGCTCATAGTGGTCAGTATACCTCCAGTTCATCCTCAGGTCGGTTTTGCACTTTCAATAAGAGCAGCGGACATAACATAACTACATGCCCAAACAAACCTAGTACATCAAGATGTTGGTGTAATACTATTTTACTAGTTCATTTTATTTATACTAAATTTTGTTTCTCATTTTACAAGCATGGCAAATCACGCATGTAGACCTGGACAGCATTGAGCTGGCAGACGAGGTGATCGGGAACAATAAAAGGAGAGCGTGCCTGACTTGCCACCAAGCATTTCAGCATTAGGTGTTGCGCACAGGACTGTCGATCCAGATGAGATAAGATAAGCTATACATTCGCATGTTGTCAATTATGAATTCCATGGTGCAAAACTGCAAATCACAACTCTATTCTCTCGTGTAGGGGTATCCTCTAGTTGCCTCCACCCACCTTCACATAGTACGCAATTGGCCAGTTCCATGTCCCTATTTCATATATGCATTACGCCTCCTTAGCTTGGAGTTCATAAGGCACTTACAATTCATCAGATTAGACCATCACCTTATTACGATCTTGGTGGAGATATGATGTCCATCTACAAACTTTTTCTACCTAATAATTGGTGAGATGATTATCACACTCCAAGGGTACAACTCCTCTTAGGGGTCAGGGTGGATGGTCCTGTATTGGTTGGACCGATTGTTGTTGGCTTAGGTCTGAGTTGCAACAAGTTGCTTGGTGGCCACCCTGACCCCGATGCTATGCATCATGACACAGAGGATGATGACGTGCAGGTAACTTTCATAATGGAGAGCTCTAAAATGGACTTGATGCTCCCGCTTTGCTGACTGTGTTGGACTTATCCTACGATGATATGAATCCTGCTATATTCATTCAGCGTATGAGGGCATAAATTCTTTACATGATAGGATGTTCATACTGCCAAACACATCACGAACACATGTGACTCTATAGTACTTATCGTTACTTTAGGATTTGGAGGCCTTTAGCATGACGTTGATCAGGAGTGCAGTGCTTGGACATCTATACAGATAGCTCTATCTATCAACAAGGCCTACACACAACAGTCCGGCCAAGTCTCCTAACGTAGACCCAAGGCAACATCGTAAATCCTAATCTTCGATTGATTGTATGCTCATATATTATAATATTCTTTTATGCTTGGTTTTGAAAACCTAATCAAATCGGCCAATTCGACCGGTTCAACCATGAACCCGTCATATTTTAGGTACGGTCCATCTTAAAAATCGACCTAGCATCAAACCGGTCTAAACCCCAGTTCAACCAACCAACCATTGAACCGATCCTAACTTTTAAGAATCGGCCAGTTCAATTGATATCCTATTCAAATAAATAAGTAAATAAATTTAATATAAATATCAAATTAATTTAATTATAACATATTTTAATTTTATAATAAGCACTAAATTTCCGTAATAATCATTTATCAAGCAAATACCAACAAAATATACTCACATGGTCCCAACACCCCATAAGAGTTCATAACACATGCAAAAAAAATAAGCTATATAAACAAAATTAAACAAAGATTTAAGCCATATGGAACTATTATTATTATATTTATTTTTTAATTAAATAAACTTTAATATTTATTACGTCATCCAATTCAACCCTAGTCAAACCATTAAACCTTGAACCTCTTTTTTTCGATTCGACGTCCGTTCGAGTTTTCACTCTTGCTTTTATAAGAATGGAATTTTATTCAATGTGGCTTGGAGTTCTTCATAGATCAATATGTGGGAATTACGGTTGATGACTAAATCTTCTTAATGTATAAGCTGCGAATTTGAATGTTAAATGAGAAGGTTACAACAAAGATAAGAATGGTTATAAATAAAAAGATGTAGGTTGAGATAGAAGTTACAATAATATTAGATGGTTGGTCAGATATTAAATAAAGCATTTTAATAAATTTTCTTGTCAACAATCCTTATAAGACTATATTTCTAAAATTTGTTGATGCATCATCATTTTTAAAAGACACATAACTACAATTTAAAATGCTTGTTGAGATTGTTAAGTAAGTAGGAGAGAGCTTAATTGTTCAAGTTATTATAGATAATGCAAGTGCCTATAAAGTTGTAACGACAATCTTAATAATGGCTGCTCCTTGTCGTGTTTTAATATTTGGCAAGTTGGGATAGCTTCCATGTTATAAATATATTTTGCGTCAAATAAAAATAATGAGAAAAGTTTATTTAGAACCATTATTAGGAGTTGAGCAAATTCATAGATAAACGAATTATTCAGCCAGCAATTATAATGAGTTACTCTGCTCAAAGATTAAAAGAGTTACATCAACATTTGGAGGTCATGTTTGCTTCTTAAGAATGAGATCAAAGTTCTTTAGAAAAAAAAGAAGGAAAACAAGTGAATATGCATTAATTAAGATCTAAAAGATCATAGGACCTTTAGAGAAGGTATTAAGAATGGTAACTAATGAAGAGGCAATGAGATTTATCTATAAAGCAATGAGGAAGACGAATGAGGAAATAGCAACAAATTTTAAGGGGACAAGAAGCAGACTATGAAGAACTATAAGAAATTATTGATGAAAAATTACATCATCAGCAACATCCACCTTTGCATGCTATTTCATATTCTTTGAACCCCCAATTTCATCATAACAAAGACTTCATCTACATTAAAAAAAAAAAAAGTTAAGATTGATTTATATGCATGCATGGATAGATGTTCCTGAGACTGACTATCTTAAAGCTAATGATCAATTTGAAGATTGTCATTTGAAGAATGGAATGTCCAGAAGTAGCTCAAGCATGCTACAAGAAATGCTCTCCTCATAAATTTGTATTCTCCTATAAATTTAATCTACAAGTTTAAGATATATATATATATATATATGATGTGAAACCTTTAGGAGTTACGTTGTGAAATTAAAAAGGCAAAAGGGTAAAGCGATGCTCATTTTAAATTTAAAACTATCACATGAAAGTGAGTTACGAATTCGAAAGTTTTAACTTGCTTAGGCCCAAAGATATGCAATAGAGATTAACCAAAACAATTCATTCAAAATCCAAGGAGATTTAAATGCAAAGTACAATTAACAAAACCCCACGTTTAACAATGAGAGGTTCACCTCGGGGCCGTCTCACTCAAATATTAGTAGGCTTTTAGCGGAGAAAGAAGATCCAAGCGATAAAGGATATTACCACTAGAGAAGCGACACCGAAGAACCTCGTTGGCGGAAAGGTAGCCGGCGGAGATGGATGTCGTGGGTGGCCGACGAGGCTCCAATCGTAGCGTGAGAAACGTCGGTCGATGATGCTTGCAAGAATAGGGATGACTCGCTCCAAGTATTCTTCAACAGTAGTTTCGTCCTCAAA